TACATAGGTTGTTACCGACTACGGTAAAATATAATAATGTAGGTAGTGGTACCTATTTATACTTACTTGTGAATTGTGATTCTGTGCAACGTGGAAGTGTATCTATCATCAAGTTTTATGATCTTCTCATTCATCTCAATAAGTTTATTTTGCGCGTGTTTCACACTATCGACTGTGTCAGATACGGATAGTGGAATTACTCTTAACAACTAACTGTGGTAACGATATCTCATATACGCTACCTTGATTTGATTTTCATTCCTGTATTGTTTCACTATTTATTTATATATATATCAGACCTATACGCAAGCTAGAATATAAATTCTTATAACTTATACGTAAGCTATTACCAGCTCCTCAGGATAGTTATATAGATTCCTGTATGTAGTAGTACCCATTTTAGCGGTGTCGATTATTTTATATTACCATTATCATTATTTCAATAGAGATTCCATAAACAGTGTAAAATTGACACGTTAGTGTAACTATAATCAATTTATGTCTTATGATTTTTTTGTCCGTATTTAACACTAATGGCCATAATAGATAGTGAAAAACTCTCCTAACATAATAATTAAATTTGGTTATGCTATTCTTACATGTTGAATTGCTTTATATCTTTCTATGTACTGTTACACTGTTTATTCTGTATCAAAACCTGTAAGTTGGTTGTTATCGGCTATTCTAGCATCTTAGTATCCTGAATGTAGTAGTACCTATTTGGGGTTACTTTGATGTGTGCCTTAGCATTGTGTAAGTTAAATTGTGATCGCTTACGCGAGCATGTATGACCGTGTGTGTGTGCACGTTACTATTTGTATTTTCAGTTCAGTACCGGTCACAAAATATTAACAATTACCTGGTCTTTTCCCCCCTCTCTCCAAATTTTGTTCTGATGAACGTACTTCAACTCTTCATAGTCATTTTTTATATCCGTTTCCTCCTCTGCCCGACCCCCTCTCCTGTTGCCCAGTGTGCCTCTGACTACTGCTATTATCATGATCACGACACCTTCTCGAGCACTCACTTACCTCCTTGCCCAGTCTGGTATTACATAATGCCTATGGATGTTTCTCTCTATCGTGTTCGAATTGGTGTAATCAATAACTATATACAGTCCGCAGATCTCGCTCTTTACGTGACCGTTCCCGACATGTTATGTATTGCATTACTCTTACTTTTGTTACATGTTTTAAGTCTTATTTACATAAAATTAGTACATCACTCAGAAAGTGGTTCCGTAGCAGCTCATGTAACCACTGCGCATCCTTTTTAGCAGAATTACTTACTTTTATATCAATACATTGTGCATTGATCAGCTGTATTTGTCAGGTGACATTGAGTTAAAGACCTTTTCTACCATTCAATCAATTGCTTCTACTTCCTCTTCAAGTATCCAGTTCTGTAACGATAGGTATTCTTTCGTCTATCTTAGCGTCAACAGTTTCAAATGCAAACCTGACATTCACTACATAAGTGCTAAATTCATCTCCTCTTCTATCATGTCCGCTACTGATTAATTGTCTATATCTCTACGTCGTGCTTTGGACTATTGGCATTTGTTGATATCTGGAGATATAGAACTGAATCCTGTTCCCATGTCTTCTAGCTCGTCTTCCTCATCTATATTTTCGAATATGAGTGGCCAGCTTGATGCAGTAAGTCATTTTTCATTTGTCCATCTTAATGTTTAAAGTCTCAAACAAAAACTCGATATTCTTTACACCGAGTTAAGTAATATAACAATTTTATCCTTTACTGAGACATGGTTAAATTTAAGTGATATCTCATCTAACCTTAACCTGCCTGGATATTCTGACCCATTCTGCTACTGTAGACCTGAACGAATGGGCGGTGGTATATCGGTTTATGTAAAATATAATATTCATGCAAAGAGAAGATCAGATATAGAAATAGCTACCATTGAATATGTTTGGTTAGAAAGTGTACTTGGTTCAGAGAAAATATTATATGGTACTTTTTATCGGCCTCCAAACTCTCCTGTCATCATATGGTCCCATATCTCGCATTCTATAGAAAAAGCGTATAATACAGGTATTTCTCATATTGTGATAACCTGCGACTTTAATGCAAATGCCCTAGTAGACCACCATTCGTCCCACTTACGCGATACACTTGTTGCCTTTAATCTAACTCAGCTTGTTGACTCACAAACTTTTTATACAGAAGCCTCTGAGTCATTGTTAGATATAGTCTGTACTAGTAGTAATAACCCTATTAATAAATGTTATGTTGGAGAAAGCTTCATTGACCAACCGGTTAGATATCATTGTCCAATTTACAATTCTTTTAATATCAGCGAAACGTTTGGCTTTTTGACCTAGGAAATTACGATTTATTTCGGAAAAAACTAAGCTCAGTTAACTGGAATTTATTGAGTGATTTTGATGATATTAATGATGCTGTCAAACATTTCTTAGATATTTTGCTTACTATTGGCAAATCTCGTATTCCGAATAAAAAAATAACCATCAGATCTAACGAATCCCTTTGGCTATCAAACGAAATAAGGAGATTAATTCGTAAAAGAAAGCGCGCTCATAAAAAACCAAACGTACCGTTACTGAAGCTCACTGGGCAAAGTTTCGTCGACTTCGTAACAAATGTGTTAACACAATCAAGCACGCCAAATTAACATATTTTTCTAATTTATGTAGCGAACTTCGCAAACCTTCTAACAATAGTGTTAAACAATGGTGGAAAACTGTAAAGCAACTATTACCTTACTCGGGTGAATTTTGTATACCACTATTGCTTCATAATAATAGCGCTGTCTCAGATGTCTTTGAGAAAGCTTGCTTATTTAATTACTTCTTTTTGTGCCCGGTCTACAGTTGATGATTCCAATGTAAATCTCCCTAACATTAACGACGAATGTAATAATTCCTTATCTGATATTAACATCATAGCTAATGACGTCAGAGACCACTGACTGTTCTAAGGTCATTGGTCCTGACCTGGTAAATCCTTGTCTTCTTAACGAATCAGTAAATATCATACGTGTCCCATTAAGAAACCTCTTTAACAGGTCAATTAGATCTGGGGCATTCCCATCTGAATGAAAGCTTGCTAACGTCAGCCTTGTGCATAAAAAAGATAACAAGTCTAGATTAACCAATTACAGACGTTGGTAAATTAATGGAAAGATGTGTCTTCAAATATGTCTACAATTTTTTGCACGCTCACTCCCTCCTATCCCCCCATCAATCTGGTTTAGGCACGATGACTCACCAACAAATCAACTTCTTGCGATCATTCATGATATATATTTAGCTTTAGACAATGGTAAGGAAATACGTATGGTCTTTTGTGGTATTAGTAAAGCTTTCGATCGTGTTTGGCATAAAGGCCTTCTTTGTGAATTATCCAGCTATGGGATTCGAAATTCGCTATTAGTTTGGTTTGAAAATTATCTTTCCAATCGAAAGCAGAGAGTTGTCATCAATGGTAAAAAATCAAATTGGTTAAATGTTAAGGCTGGTATTCCACAGGGCTCAATTCTTGGACCTCCTTTATTTCTGATATATATAAATGATATTGTTAAAGATATATAAGCTAAAATAAAGTTATTCGCTGATGGCACCTCTCTTTATGTCACTGTTGATATTCCTAGAGTCAGCGCAGACATTCTTAATAGTGACCTTAATACAATTCATAACTGGTCGCAAAGATGGTTTGTTAAATTTAACCCTTCCAAAACAGAAACCCTAATCATTAGTAGAAAAACCATTAAACCTTTTTACCCTCCCTTAAATATGAACAATACTAACATCTGTGAAGTTACTACACACAACCATTTAGGTATTTTTCTCTCTGGAAATGGTCATTGGAATGAACACATCAGTTATTTGATATCTAAGATTTCACCTAAAATAAATATCTTACCTAAATTTAAATTCACTTTGGACAGGTATAGTCTCCAAACTATTTTTCTACACTCTAATTCGACGTATATTAGACTATGGCGATATCTTATGGGACTGCCTTACTAAAGCTCAATCTGAGTTATTAGAAAATCTTCAATTAGAAGCACGCATAGTCACTGGCAGCACTAGACTCACAAGTAGAATTAAACTGTATACTGATACAGGTTGGCTTCCCCTCGAGGAAAGACGTAAACAGCACAAGCTTATTCTTTTCACAAAATGGTTCATGGTCTGGCTCCTCAATATCTTCTAAATACCACATGATACTCGCACGGGTAATAATTTTCGTCCACTAGTTTGTCATACGAGTCTCTATAATAAATCTTTTTTTGCCATCTGTCATTAGAATCTGGAACTACTTGCCTGACTATGTCAAGAACGACCCTTCAATTTATAAACTTAAAACCTTTCTACGCAAGCCCGCTCACAAAATTCTCTACTTTAATGGTACCAGACTGGGGCAGAGACATCATGCTAAAATAAGAATGGAATGTAGTTCCCTTAAGTTTTATCTGTACCAGAGAAATCTAATTGATAGTACTCTATCATGCAAGCAAATGAAACCAATGAACATTATCTATTACATTGTTGTCTTTTTTCTCAACTACGTTTACATACATTTAACGAAATCAATCATCCACTCTCAACTGATTTACTTTTGTTCGGGAATGATGTTCTTACAGATGATGAAAATGTTTAATTTTTTCATCTGTACAAAACTTCATTATCCAATCTAAAGTTCTATTAATTATACAACGATCCTTTGTTTCACATCACCTATTTCCTTTCCTTCTATTCCTATTGGCACGGGCATCTATATCAACTTGTTTCCGGGTCCCATTCCTCTGTACTTTGTATGTTATGTGGTGTAATGCAACTTAATGTGGAATGAAATAAAGTTTATATTAAAAGAAACTCACGTTTCGAAAGTTCGCAATACTTAAGGTTTTGATAGGGTAGTTCTTGGGTTTTTTCGTAACTTTCTATAGCATGCATATCTGTATGACTTTTAAGTTGAAGCAGAGAAATAAATCACAATCAACACTCATAAAATCAACAGTCAAAAGATTTTAATCTTTCACAATTGCTGTGGAGTTCCTTTGTAACTTTATTTACATCATGGAATCTTGTTTTGACGAACCGCTGTAGTGCTAACCCAGACAAATAAAATACAAACTGCAAAATGCTCTCTATGAGAAGGAGGTAACAATACCACATGGGGCTGTGATCGTCCATTAGGACTCCCAATATAACTGGATTAATCATGCTACCCATAGCGCCAGTCAGGATAAACAAGGACGAGATTCGCCCAGTCACGGGTATAAACACGTCTTCTGTCCATGTGAATATTATGGGATATATGATGGAGAGAGACAGTCCAACGAAAGGGGGTGCAATCCATACACCGACATGAAAAACATTGTCGGCGCTTAAAGTTATAAGAATCATAGCTAGTATTAACATAAAACAGTTCACGCCCATTAATTTTACATGGTCAACTATCCTTACGGTAAATATGTTTATGAAATGCCCCAGACCTATTGAGCCGAAATAAAGAGAAGTGGCCAAAGATCCCTGCGTCTTTGTCCACTTTACTTGTTCTACACAGAAGGCTGAAAGGAACTCAACAAAAGTTTCTTCTAGCCCCGTATAAAGCGCAGACAGAGCACTCATATTTATCAGAACTAAGACCTTTACTACGAGAGGGATTGGCTTGTTGGATCGTTTACGGTCCTCACCACCATGGCGATTAAAATCGCTCGGTATTCTCAAAAACATGATAAAAAATGGTAGTGAAACCAAAAATGATATTGCTCCAGATATCGCAAATGCAATGTGTACGCGAGATGCCCCATATTCTAAGAACAATTTTGTTGACTCTTCCGTCTCGAAAGACGTTTCATTATTCACAAAATCCGAACTTGAATTATTGTAAATCATATCAGATAAATTACTGTATTTGAAAATTGTGGAATGTAAAAGCTGATATTGGACCGGTGAAGTCAACAGATCAATACTAGAGTTCAGAGATTCGATGGTTGGTGAAATATTGGAGTTTTTAGGGGCTAGAAACGGTGCAGTGACAAGCGGAGAAATGATGCCACCTGTAGCAAAACCAAAATGGAGAGCCTGCATGAATGACTGGCTAGTCTTCTTACTCCATATTGATACCATCTCCGCACAGCTCACTGAAATAAGGAACAATTTTTTTTATAGAATATTGAAACTTGGTCAATAATAATCAAAATAAATATAGAATGACCAACGATGGAAGTGATGGGTATGCATGTCAGTAAAGTTCTTATTGAAACAATTTAAAAGAATAAAATCTGAATAAGAAAATATGCCGAAATGTCAACAAGAACATAATTCTAACTTAAAATCAATGAGGGTAGAACAAAATATGAATAAAGAAAGAGTTAACATGAAGACCATAGAAAAGTGCAAGATGAATAAGACTTACTATAATATCAACACTAGACAAAAGTTTCAATTAATTGAAAATCATGTTTGCCATCTCGACACACATAACAAATAACCAACACCTTGACAATGTCAGAAATAGTTGTACGACGTTTAATTTAATTTTGATGGAATTGAGAATTAATGTCAGCTGGATCAGCCAATTCGAGACCAAAAAAATGGCAGCTCCTGTTGAAAAGCCAATGAACATTTTATATGCAAGTGTGGTTACTGTTGACATGGAGAAAAGAGAATATGTGTCAATTAATTGGTGGATACGTAGCCGCCATATTTGATTGTGGGTAGATCGGGGTCAGTTTAGGGGAAGCATTTGTATAAACGTTTGCAAAAATGTCTGATCCAAGAGTGCCTAAGCCTTCATTAAAGGTGCTTTCACAGGAAAGCCTTGAACTTGTACCTACATTATACAACACTTCATTTCGTGGAAACTGTCCATACTAGATAATGTTTGATCTTTACGTGCAATTTTGACATTCAAACAAAATTAACTCCATTTCTAGTTTTGGACCTTGTCCTCCCAACCCAGGGAGACCAGTCATCGTCCTTCCCACACTGAATTCTCTGAATTAAGTGACGCCTTATGCAAAAAAGTTAAGATTATTTAATATAAACCCCTATAATGCTTGACGTCATTGTACTTTACATCGTCACACTTTTGACATCATTTGAGTTTATAAATTCAGTGAAACCAAACCTCGTTATAATGTCAGCACTTGTCCAGAGAAGTTTTGGCATTATATAGGGGTTTAGCGATAAAGTGAAGGAAACGTATAAATGAAGTCTTAGGAAGACACGAAAAGGGTTGTTTGACCTAAGTTGGCAGTAAGCGAGGAGGCAAATAAAACGAGGGGCATTGTACCGAGGTTTTACTGCAGATAATGTATATTACCTGTGTCTATGCACCCCTGGAAGATTCCTACCAAGAACTGCACAGCCAGCATGACTACGTAGTGGGTACACCACGGGATGAGAGAGACTGATCCAGCCAAACCGACTAGGAAAAGCCACAACAGCAGAAATTTGTTAAGACGATCGTACAAAAGACCACTCAACAGTGAACCTGCCATGTACCCAGCACATAGTGACGTCACATAGAATGCGGCCATTTCCAAAGTGACATCTGTGATCAATTTCAAATCGAGAAGGCATGGTCCGACCTGACCTAGCATCCATCCCTGAAACAAAGAAATGTTATTGGGTTTAAAAAGACATAGTCCGACTTTTAGACCGAAAAAATATTTTCTTGATTTATAATCAAACGTGCTTCACCTACGAAAAAATACAATCAACGAAAAACATAGCGTTAACACAGAAGTACTGAATCAAAACTTACAACAATACGAAACGACAGACACTATAAGTCCAATGTGTTAAGGATAAAGAAAATCATTCAATAACAAACAGACAAAAAATTCATCTAGAGATTTGATGATAGGTTGATAAAAAATATCAAAATAAGAACACCTATACTCATTGCAAAGTTAAACATTATTTTTCTGTCAACAAAAGTGTGATTCTTATGATACACACAACTAATAATGGACTTTGTAAAAATTAAGGAAAAGCTTTCGTTTTTGGTCAGATTATGAGGTCATAACTCCAGTTGAGCACGAGTACATTAATCATAGACGGCGATTATAAATATAATCAGCGGACACAAGTTTCATTTTCAAAACATATTAACGCCTTTTTGTTTTAATAAAAAATGAAATCTGAAATTAAAATAAACCCCAGTTAACTCCGCCCCCATCTAATGTTCATGGCGTCTCACAATTGTGTCTTGTTCGAGGAAAATTGATATAGCTCTGCCCACATGTATTGTATATGACGTCATGGAAATTAATCACGTTTTATGGCCAGGTTATAAGATAATAGCTCCAGTTTTCGGGAACAATGGTTTTTGAGTGACTGTTAGAGTAGACTGAAAATATATTGGTCCATCGATTGAAATTGTTAATCGAATTATATCGTGCTACTGGTGTATGTAAAGGCAGCTCTCTGGTTACCTTTTATCTTATGATAAATTGGTCCTCCGATCAGTAGACCAATACAATTTTGTATCTGGTTCAGGATTCATAAATAAGTCTAATAATTAAAAGGGAAACTCTTTTGCGTAAAAATGAATTTCGTCATTCTTATTTACAAGAGTAATATTTTATCAAAGGGACACTGCATTTGACGTTGACATTGATCAATCAGAGTTGTATCCTCTTCAACTATCTATGACTTAAGCTTTTTCTCCTTTCAACATTTTTTCCTGGATGACAAATGAAATAGATTGAACAACAGGCTAGGCCTGTATATGTTGTCCTGGATGACAAATGAAATAGATTAAACAACAGGCTAGGCCTGTATATGTTGTTCTGGATGACAAATGAAATAGATTGAGCAACAGGCTAGGCCTTTATTATGTGTTTTTTTTACCAAGTAAAGATTAAAATGCATGCTTTAAAATGGAAAGTTGAAAAGCATGAATATCAATAATATTCATGACTATAAATGCAAGTCAGTCATGTAGGGGAAATGACTCTTAGTCAATGGCGTAAGGGAGATAATCACTAGAACAACATACCATATATCGTCCATCGTCACAAACAATGTCTTTTCCATGATGTCAAGATTAAAACAAAATAACATGTTCATAATTAAACATTTAATGAATAAATCCGTCGTAATCAGCATTCAATTGAGGTAGTAAATATGCAAATCAGCCATCTTCATAAAGTTAACAAATTGCTAAACTACCTATTAATGAACATCATTTACAGTGGCTTTATATTATATAACTGGTTTATAAGATTTTTCTAATTCTTGTGGAAAGTACATAGAATGATATTCATTGATAATAATAGTTCGATGAGGATAGATATTAACCACCTACTTAACTTACATTTAATTGGTGGCGCCAGGTGTACAAATTATCATGCATACATAACTATTAACTATATAAACTCTGCCATGAATATAAAGTAGGAATAAGGAAGAGACAAGGATTAAGAACAGGCCCTTTATGCTTTCCTTTATTAGCTTTAAATGTTTCCAGATTATGTAACAATCCCTGATCTTATACCCTGTCAAAAGTCTTAAATACGTCATTAAAGACAAATCTTACTTTTTTACCTTTCTATAACTTACTTACAAAAGTGTTAAATAGAGAGAAAAGGGTTGTTTTACAGTCACCAGGTAAGAAGCCCGAATGGCGACCAGTAAATGTTTCACATTGTACAAAATAACTACAGCGTAGCATCGACATAATGTCCCACGTGTCATTTGCCACCTCGTTTACTGCCAACATATTTCAATGTTCTTTTTTCTGCACTCCTGCAGGTCGGGGATCGAGAAGAGATGTATCGTAAGAGGTGACTAATGGGCCAGCCCCTGCAGAATTCGGATTTTGCTTTGGTGCCCTCTGTTTGAGGACACAAAAGCGAATCTGCCGAACCCATTGTAATATTTTGGATCTATATATTTCTCCCTACTTCTAACCGTCTCCTTGCTTGACAATACCTCAACCTTTGGCTTTACTGTTAACGTTCGCCCAGGTGAGTAAGCCACTCGGTTATGTCTCAAGGCCGGAACATACCAAATTCCTTAAAGTGGTAGTTGTTATTCCCTGCTTAACTTTCAGCAGTTATGGTAATGGCAAAAGCTGGTTCACTCGTTTTCAGTAAAATGAGACCGGGCGGAATGCTATGATGGGTGCCTTCGGCATGGTATTTCAGTGAGATAGCACTTTAAGTCGGCATCAGATCCGCCAAGTACATGTACAACAACGTACCCTGTCTATACCCACATGCACGCTTACACAACAGCCATGAAGGCACGTCCTTAAATGACCTAGCTGTTAATAGGAAGTTAAACAAAATAAAATATAAACCAACCCGTTTTCGTGTTTTCTTAATAATTCCTATATAAATTTCTATTGACAAACCCCTTTATAATGCCAAAATTTCTCTGGATTTTTTTATTTGCATCATAGCGAGGTTCTATTGTATAGAGATTGTTTACCCCACTCTCTCTATACTTTTATATTAAGTAGTTTTGACTGTTAACCTCCTAAAACTACTCAACATACCTATTTCTGCCACATGACGAAAGTTTACAGGTTACGTGTAATGCACATTATGTAATCGAACAAGCTTAATATTTCAGACATTCTGGTGAATATGGCGAAGTATATAGGATGTTCGTCTGCCGCCGCAATGGAAGCTTTAACGACGATGCTGCAGTTAATTGAAGACGTGACACAGAAAGCACTAACACATAACATGCATAAAGGGGCGGTAATCATTGTGATTAGGTACAGATATTTAATGTTTATTTCTTACTTTTTGCGTTTCGTTGGTTATATTGGTCAAAAAGTTTACTATATAATATACGATGCAGACGAGGACCATACATTATATTTGGAAGGTTTATATTATATGTACGAAACTTTAGAAAACATGTACAGGTATAAGCAATAACGTAGATATATTAAGGTTTCCAAACGAGTGGTGGTTGTTATCATGTTTATGTAACTTATGTTTGTTAATTTTCAAATTGAATAAAAACACGAGGTTTAAACCATCACGAGTTTGGGGACGTTTTTCCCCGACAATGCTCAGATTTGATACCTAAAAATCCATACGTTTCTCTTAGGAATACATAATTCCTGTTGCCCACTTGAGAAACAATTACCATGAAATATGACCTCTTCCGCAAGACATTGTCACTAACGTCATAATTCGACAACTAATCAATGAAATCACATCCAGGGGGTAACTAATAGTGGATATCCAAACACAAATTATTAACTCCTAACAGATTTATCGTATGAGATGGAGTGAGGAAACTGTTATTGCTTGTGGGAGAAAAGTATTTTACATGTAATAAATTAAATAACATATGTACTTATAAGCTTCCGATATATCTACAAAAAAATATGTGTTGAGTCCATTGCCTTAACAACATTGGAAGAGCGTGCTAAAATGAGGTATTGCCGGTCGAGGCGCTAGGAAACAAACATTTCCTATCTCCAACCTACCAGCGTAGATAACTCATAATAATATGATAAGTATATATAAGTTTACAAATGTGTTTTTGTAGGAGTAAAGGCTTATTAAATGAACGGGCTTGGCCAAGAGTTTGGTTCATGCTGGTCCTTGTATATTATTTTAATGCAAAGAACTTGAGGACTTTAAACTTATAACATACAACAAATAACTCATAAATACAGTTTTTTTGTATATGCGATATGACACAATTGCTCTATCCCATATCAACCCTGGTTGTTTCACATCACGAAAACCCGTATCAACCCGCAAACCCCGTATAACATCTCTTTTGGAAAAAAATGCCTTTTTCCATATCACACCTTGTATCAACCCTCGACCACGGGCTGATATTGGAGTCCCAGGTTGATACTGGATGTGATACGGGAAATATCATGTATTATTCTCTATTTATAGATTGGAAAAGTGAGGATATTTTTCTATCTTTATATCATTTTTAAAATATAAAGAAAGGGAGTGTATTTTTTCATTTAGAATTGCTTATTAAAATCTAAAAATAAATGGTTGAAAAGCAATATCAGCATTGGGAAGTCAGTTTAGAGTTACTTGTTGAGATGTGATTCAAATGTATTTCTTTTATTCGAGAACATAGGCCTTCGTGAACACGCTTGGACCAGATTATACTTGCTTGTACATGTATATCATTTCAAAACCTGCAACGTGACGACTTCTTATAGTTTGGAAGAATGAGGCTATTTTCTTTAATGGATTATCTAGAATCTAAAATTAAGAAGTGTATAATTTTATTTCGAAAATCTATCAAAAACTTTCAAAAAAATGGCAAACACGGCATTGGGGAAGCCGGGTAGCAGTTGGTCGTTTATATGTGATAAATATACTAGTAATTTAACAAGTGGTTAGTTTAAAGAATTAGTATGTGATTAAAAGCACCAATACTTAAACATTTGAGATGTTATAAAATAGAATTTGTTTCATATATAGATCTGTAAGCGTGACTTTGTGTATACAAATGAGTAGTAAATTATATCAAACAAATTCCTAAAAGGTTTACAATACTGTTTGTAAACAAAAACCTGATCAGTCGATAATATCAGACATACTTGTGGTAAAAAAGAGTTTCAAGACTTATGAATGATGTTTATGTTTATATAAGACGGGTA